GTCTCATACGAGAGAGAAGAAGAAGCTATCCACGCAGAGAGAGCCGTTCATGGAGTGGGAAAACGACCAAGGCATGAATACCTTGTTCAGTGGAAGGGACTTCTAGAGAGTGAGGGAAGTTGAGAACCTTCCGAAGCCTTGTGGCAATTCCGAGATAAGATTGACCAGTTTCACTCTAGTCGCGCAAAGAGGGCGTCGCTAGAACTAGTGGGGGAGAATGTCACAGATCGCCAGCCCAAGATCGAGCCCAGTTCGTTCAAGGCTGCCATAGACTACCTTTGCCACGTTTTGGGCCTTCTAGAAGACCCAGCAGAGCTGGCCCATCCACCTTGGAGAGAGAAGAGGCATGATAATTATTTGAAATTATCTTAGAGATAATTCCCACTAATTATTATTTAATTTAGAGTTATAGATAGAGTAGGGCTCTTTTCTGATCGTTGATGTAATTTAATCTTAACCGTTGATTGTAGGGGGCTCCAACTATAAAAGGAGGCTCACCCCCACCTCATTTACTCACTTCAGATTGAGGAATACAAGTTAGCATTCACTCTAAACTCTCTCTTCTCCATTTGAGCGCCCATCTCTCTATTTTTCCCATTTCCTTTATTTTTGCAACGTTCTAAGTATTCTCGCTTAGTGAAGGTTTGGGTTACTTAGCCGAGTTTCGACCTCGAAAATGACTAAGGCCGCACGAGCTTGCTAGCAGCAGTCTAGCCCCGTGACAATATGCTGTAAACGACGAAAATATTTTTTGTCACCAGTTTGTATAGCACAAAACAAAGGCAAATTGATTGGAAGTCGTTGAACTCTTCAGGCGAATCAGTTTTCAGAATGACCACAAGCACAATGCAATTTAAATACGGGTCCAAATTACGGGTCTCGAAGATGTTTGTAACAAGCTTGCAAACGAGTCCCCTACAATATCCCAATGTTTCTGAAAGAAGTTGGCATGAAGCCCATCAGCACCCGGTGCCTTCGGAGGAGCCATGGAATTTAAAGAAGCTCGAATTTCATCCTTGGTTGGGATAAATTCAAGATAATTCCTATCAGTGTCAGAGAGCTTCAAAAAGCAAACCAAAAGCGTAAAGGTGCCCGCCGGTGGAGATCCATTGGAGAAAAGTGTACTGAAATGTCTAGAGGCATCCTTCTATATTTCATCATTATTGTTATACCATTTATTGTCATTTAGTTTGAGCATTCTGATAGTGGTAGGACGACGTTTGGCGAGAGCTTTGGCGTGGAAGTATTTGGTGTTCTTGTCTCCAAAATCAACCCAGTTAGTCGTGGCTTTTTGCTTCTATAGAAGTTCCTTCTGGTCAAGCAGCTGTTCAAGCTCGTCAAGGAGTTTTGCTTCAATTTTTACTAAGTAACCAAATCGATGTCAATCAAGTAGGCGTTGGACTCCCCAGAGACGAGCCATGATAGTGCGTTTGCGTTTCCCAATACTGTCGAAGGTGATTCCATTCCATTGTGGATGAAGTAAACTTTGCAATGGTAGCCGAAATAGATAGGGAGGGATCCCAATTTTCACACAAAAGACGATCAAAATCTGTGTGATCAGACCAGCCGATAAAGTATCGGAAAGGTGTCTTCCGGTTGGTGGACTTGTCCGAGATGGAGCATAGCATTATTAGGCGATGGTCCGGCTTCATTCAGAGTAAGTGCATGATAAAAGAGGTCGAGAAAGTTTCATACCATAGATTATTACTGCTAGGCTCGATGAAACTCGTTCGATCAACCGAAATATACCAAGAGGGGAGAATTGTCTTTTTGAAATTTAGGGAGTAAGAAATATAAAGATAGAAAAATTTGCATAATAATTTATAGTGGTTCAACTTTCGAAATGAAGTATACTTCACTACTTAAGCTCCCCATTTACGATTTTCTAACAAATTCACTAATTTGTTATTTCTTTTTCAAGGATAAAAAGATAACATTTATAAACTCCTTAGCTTTTCAAAGGATTAGCTAGAACCAAAACCCCTTTACAAAGGAAAAAAATTGTAAACAAAAAAACTCTAAAAAATAAGGTGTTTACAAATTAAAGTTCACAGAAACACAACTATTTACAAGAGAAAGAAAATAAAGAATGAAAATGCTTTTTCTTTTATTTGATTGCTTAGATAGGTGTTGTGTAACCTTTTTCAAGTGTCTTGAATTTTTTTTATATATTGGAATAAATTACTAGCCATTTCTAGCCGTTTGAGAATGTTTGGAGCCGTTGAAAGACTTTCCGCACACAAAATTTTAAAACTCTGGGAAAGTTTCGAAACTCTTCGAAAGAGACGTTGGAAAAATATGAATGTTGGAGCCAAAGTATCAAAACTTTTTAGGAAATTATCTTGGAAAATTTCGAAATTCTTGTAGAAATTTCGAAATTTCTAATCAAAATACTCATTTTAATGTTTTGATTTGACTTTAAATTATTTTGATGAAAACTTTGAATAATTTAAATTAGTCAAAAAATATTTTACTCTCATTTATTATATTAAAATATTAATTCTACAATTACAAAGACCCCTTTTAAGAATGATATGGCTGGCGCCTCGGTACCAGGTAAAGGGGAGCCAGAAAACCCGAGATCATAGAGTTTAGAGTCGGTGATAGTACTTTGTCACTTTGAAATGCTGCATCCGGTTTACTAGAAGGAGCACGGCCTTTGCGCTCATTATCAGAAAAATGGCGTTAAAGTCGCCAATAAGAAGACACGGTTCAGAAATATGTTGAGCAATCTACCGAAGATAACTCCATAAAGGTTGACGTGTGCTCTTAGATGGGCTAGCCTAGACAATCATGACTAGAGCAGAAGACCGAGCTGATGGATCAGTCACTAGACAGAGGACAAATTGAAAATGAGAGAAAATGATATCGAGCTTGAACTTTTCAGTCCAGCAAATCCAAATACCACCTGAAAAACCAATTGCTTCCACCCTGCAGGAGTTTGGGAAATCAATAAATGCAACAGTCCAGTCAACAGTCGAACTGCTGACACGAGTTTCAACAGAAGCAAAAATGTTAAGGCGGTTATCCCGAATATATTGTTTCACCACCCGCAAAATACTATTATAAAGTGATGGTAATTTTTATTTAATAGAATATTTATAAATCATAATTAAGTAATTTATAATTTTTATGAATATATAATTATATATTTAATAAAATTTATAGTTCAATGTTATTTTTTTTACTTTTATAGATAAACTTATTTAAAATTATAATTTAAACTAAATTATTTTATGTATTATAATTTAAATATCATTTAAATATATAATGACGGATACACATTTTGTTCGGGGTAAGAAAGTGTCTGCCCTAAAATTTAATTTTTTTTATGTTAATTATCTATTTTAATGATTGTGCAAATCTTAAACTTTTATATGTGTTCATCCACATACAAAACTTATATGTTGTTAATATATATGTATTCATCCTAAAAAGTATTTTTTATCCATTTTAAATACGTCTATTTTTTTCTTATAACTTCGTGTCCAAGATAATCATTTATCTTCTTAAAAGCACTTGTTGATAGTATCACTAAGCATTTAAATCTCAAATCAAACTTTTCAAAAACTTTTTCTCACATCACGTATGATGTTTAATTTTCAAACCAAGAGTGTTGAAATTTCTACAATTTCCATCTTAATGAAAGCAAGAAAATTCCATGACCGATGTTGATGAGTTAGGCCCGCATCTAATAAGGGGAAACTAAATCTGTGGTTCATAGGTACACTTTCGGTTCAGATTCCATTAATATTGCTTTGACCCTGTTTTTTCTTGTTCGTTTCTGGTTCAAAAATGAACTCCCTTGGGTGCAAAAGGACGACATTTGAGGGTGTACGTATCTGCTGGCTCGTGGTCCGGATACCTCTGGTTTTCTCGGGCAAACACGAGATGGTGCTGATTTGTCCGCCTGTACTGTGTGGATTCTTTTGATTGTTGAATGTAATTGGCAATCATGATAGATCCAGAGATATTGGAATATGGATTTTTTTCTGTATTTATATATTCGGATAAAATCTCGAAATTCAATGAAAAATATATTAGGATATAACTTTATATTTGAAAGTTTAATTTAATTTCCATAACCAATTAACCATTACATTATATTGATGTAATACTTACATATTGGACATGTGACGAGTTGCACACAATAATTTGTTACCGATGCTCACATAGTTGTTTAAGATGTTCTTTTAAAAGTTTTAGGTTTGATCAAACTACCTCAATTCATTTTGTACTGTTGAATGCAAGGATTAAAGTGTAATAACTAATGAAGACCTTCCCCACTTTAATTTTATAATCTACATATAGACTCCAATTATTCAAAGTGTTCACCTATTTTCTATATGTAAATGAGGAGCGAGTAGTTGAAAGTTATTTTAAAATTGCTCTTTTCCATATATTGAAAACTCAACTCCAATTTCCAGGCTACAATATGTGAAAACAACAATTTTTTTAAAAAATTAAAAAAGTTTAATTTTTCAAATATGGCAAGAAGATAATGAAATGAAATAAGTACCCTTGAGGTGGTGTACTTTGTAATTCTTCTCAATACAAAGTACCCTCTTTCAAAAAAAAAGAATTAAAGAATTAAATGTGATATTTGATAAGAGATGTTAAATGTTGAGTTCTTAATCAAATCAAATTAATCGAAATTTTAAAATATTTAAGCGTTAATTAAATTGTTTATTGAAATAATCGATCGAATTATTATATAGAAAAAGAAAAAAATTAATCCCAGATGGTTTAATAATTCTGACATCATATAGAGAAAAATAATAATTCCAAGTCGACTTGGAATGTGCAAATCGGTCTAATCTTCAATTATCTTAATATTTTTAGGAATGTGCATGGCCAACTATATCTGGACTTGATCAGAACAAGTTCAGATATATAATTTTCTTCTTCGATCACGTAAATCAAATTTAACTTAAATTTTGTTGATATTGAATGCATGGCCAACAGTACAGGCAGTATCGGGCTATTGTACTCAGCTTAAGATGTATTTGGGAGTGGTGAATGTTTATGCTCCGAATTTATTAAGTGAGAAAAAGGATTTCTTTGTCAACCTAAATGAAGTAATTGGAAATTTGGGTGTTCCAATGATTGTAGGAGGCGACTTCAATTCTGTTAGAGAGAGCAATGAGCGGATAGGGATATCTGTTAATTCCTGTGATATGGGGCCTCTGAATGAATTCATCCAAGCATGGAATCTGGTAGACCTTCCCTTTTCAGGAAGCTGTTTCACTTGGTTTGAGGGAGGGTCGTCAACCTCAGCTAACAGATTGGATAGGTTTTTAATCTCGACAGATGTTTTATGCAAGATTCCATCTCTCATACAAAAAACGCTAAAGAGGAGCTTGTCGGACCATAACACAGTGGTCTTACAAGAGATAACTATTCCGTCGAGGCCGAGACCATTCAAATGGTTATGTCACTGGGCTGAAGATAGTGGATTTAGAATTCTGGTTGAAGAGATTGTCGGGAGAAGTCAAAATATTGAGATTAGTAAACTTCTCTCTGAGATCAAGATGGCCTCTAAGACGTGGGCCAAAGTCATTCGGGATGCTGAGAAGGATTCAATTAAAGTAATAGAAAGCAAAATATCAGACCTTGAACAGGAAGCGCTGGTTGGAAATAACAATAGTGATGTCCTAAAAGAAATCCAAATTTGGAAAGTAAAGTTGTGGTCGAAATACAGACGCGAAGAGCGCGAATGGCTCCAAAAATCCAGATTGAAATGGTTTATTAAGCATTGCAGTAGGCAAAGCTTGAAACAAACAGAATACCAAAAAATATATTTCATTAAGCGTGTGTTATACATCACCTAGCCTTAGCTTCTTATAGCAGGTTCATAACAAATTTTAACAAACTACTGCTTCTAGAATAGTTTCCTAACAACCTTGACACGTATGCAAACTATATGCATTAGTTACAATCCAGCTCCCATGTATGCCATGCATGAGCTACTAGACCACGTGGATAGCACCCTCAGCTTCCTTATGTATCTCAACATTCTCCCTACTTCTTCTTCCCTTCCTTAAACACACTATTAAAGCAAGCTCTAAAAAAAACTAATTACAACTAATTTTTAATATTCAACCTTCTTGATGAAAAGATAAACATTTGAATCGAAAGTGCTGATGCTTACTTCCGTTCACTTGAATCGAAAGTGTCGATGCATCCTTTCGTTCTTCTTGAATCGAAAGTGCCGATGCTTCCTTCCGTTCACTTGAATCGAAAGTGCCCATGCTTCCTTCCGTTCACTTGAATCGAAAGTGTCTATGCTTCCTTCCATTCACTTGAATCGAAAGTGCCCATACTTCATTTCGTTCTTCTTATTCACCTTCATCTCTTTCTTCTTCATCTCTTATACGAGCAATCAACAGCTTTAAAAGTCTCTTGTAACATGTAATCAGAAACATCTGCAGCTAAATCCCCAAAGAAGATTGTGTATTCAGGACCCTCTTCTTGCCTCTTTTCTCCATATCCGAGTGCAGTCCAATTCATCCTAAAATTTTGCTCAGCACTTGGCATCGGTAACCCATTATACGACTGCAAACCCTCTCAGCTGCTGCATGTGTCACAAACTCGATAAATTCGTATCCCTCTGGCAGAGCCGTTTGCTTATTATTAATCACCTTAGTTGAAACCACCTCTACTGTTTGAGAGAAGATGTTGATGAGGTAATTCTCATTCATCCATGGCTGAAGATCTCCGATCCAGAGATACCGAATTTCGCCGGATCCGGTAGCTGGGGAACCGGCTGTGTACTGTTGAATCTGAGAGGGCGAAGGGACCTGTTGTGGATTCCAACCCGCAGGTGGAGGAACCGGCTGACCGGGCTGCTGTTGTTGAGGCATCATCATCCGCGACTACGACTGCGGTTGTTGCTGGTACTGCTGAGTTTGAGATGGATCGTTTGTCATGGAAGGCGGTGGTGCTACGGATGCCGGCTACAACGGAGGAGGAGGACGACGAACTTCATGCAGCGGACGAAAAACGAAATCAGGACCGTTTGGCGAATGATACCATGTTGAGTATTGCAGAAAACAAAGCTTGAATCAAACAGAATATCAGAAGTATTTTCATTGAGCTTGCATTATACATCACCTAAGCTAATTACTTATAGTAAATTCATAACAAACTTTAACAAACTAACAACTTCTAGAATAGTTTCCTAACAGACTTGACAGGTATGCAAGCTATATCCATCAGCTACAATCCTGCTCCCATGTATGACATTACACAAGCACTCTTCATTCACGTGAGCTTACATCATTCACTCAACATTCTCCCTACTTTCTCAACCTTCTTGATGAAAAGATGAACACTCGAATCGAAAGTGCGATACATCCTTCCGTTCAACTTGAATCGGAAGTGCTGATGCTTCCTTCCGTTCGACTTGAATCGGAAGTGCCGATGCTTCCCTCCGTTCGACTTGAATCGGGAGTGCCGACGCTTTCCTCCGTTCGACTTGAATCGGAAGTGTCGATGCTTCCTTCCGTTCGACTTGAATCGGAAGTGCGATGCATTCTTTCGTTCTTCTTATTCACCTTCTTTTATCTATTCTAAACTTATCTACTGCATGATTAGCTAATGGATTAGTCTCATCCATCCATTTCATCTTCAATCTTAGGTGCCAAGTAAAACCTGATATAACCCATCTCAGCAATCTTGTACTCAACCACAACAGGCAGTTCTGAAGACAGGCTGATTGACATTGTATTCGACAACAGGGTAGCCTTTGTAAATGAATTCATGTACCTCAATGCAAACGTCAACAATACCGGATTGTTTATCTCTATGATTGTCGCTTCTTCTGGTTTATCTACACTGGTGTTTTGCCTGAGAACAATATTTGTAGTCCCAATATCACCAGCTGTGGAAAACTTAACACCTTCTTTGGTTACAGAGATAACAACAGTATCACCAAGGCTAGCAAGATCTTTACAAACCCTTGCAAACTCAGATGAAGGCATCATAACAATAGCTTGGTATTCAACATCTGGAATTCCAAGGTGCTCGCCATCAATATCAATTAGCTTCAACTCAAAAACCGCTATCTTATCTTGTTTTGGGTTCTCGAACATGAAAGTAACAGTCCCCATTGAGAGGTTCCTATCGCAGCGATAGTGCTCGAACCCTTCCGATCTGAGCAACAGAGCCACCAACGCCACTTGGCTCGAACCCATCGCCTGTAACGAGAATCCAGTCGCCGAACAGTCGAAGTTCACATCCCCACTCTGCACTTTCTCTTTCCCTAATGCCTCGATCATCTTCGCCCCTAAATCATAAATTGTATCCATATCCGTCGTTTTAAGAGTCAATTTCCCAGTTTTTGAAGCCGCCCCAGAAACTGCCGGACCGTCTATTTGGATTTCAAAAACTTCGCCTTCGATCACTTCGATTTCTTCCTTGACTCTTACGCCGATGGACTTTCGAAACGCTTGCATTAGAGCTTCTGTTTTCAACATTTCCAGAGAGAATATTTCACTGCCATAGAGCACAGAGAAAGGGGTTTCAAGGCCAAGGAACTTTGTGATGCCCATGGCGATGGCAGTTTTGCCAGTTCCAGGTTGGCAGTTTAGGAGCGTGAAACCAAAATTCCCAGGACTTTGGCGAAAGATACCATATTAAGCATTGCAGTAGGCAAAGCTTGAAACAAACAGAATACCAAAAAATATATTTCATTAAGCGTGTGTTATACATCACCTAGCCTTAGCTTCTTATAGCAGGTTCATAACAAATTTTAACAAACTACTGCTTCTAGAATAGTTTCCTAACAACCTTGACACGTATGCAAACTATATGCATTAGTTACAATCCAGCTCCCATGTATGCCATGCATGAGCTACTAGACCACGTGGATAGCACCCTCAGCTTCCTTATGTATCTCAACATGGTTCAAGGTTGGGGACAGGAATACGAAGTTTTTTCACCTGACGACCTTGAGCGAGCTAGAGCTAACCATATCTGTAGCAAGACTAGCATTCGGGTTGGAGCTTCCGTGGTCTCAGGGATAAAAGATTTAACAAAGGCTTTCAAGTCCCACTTTAGTGAAGGTTTCAGCAGAATTTCTACCTTACCTGTAAAGGATCTGGGAGTTAATTTTAAGAAATTAAGGTTGTCCGCTAGAAAATCACTGGAAGCTCCTTTTTCCGAACTAGAAATTTGGCAAGCAATCAAAGCATCAGACGGTTCTCGAGCTCCCAGTCCGGATGGATTCAACATTGATTTTTTCCAAAGGTTCTGGCCTTCTATCTGTGGAAGTATTATGAAGCTGGTTGTTGATTTTCATAATGGGTCTTTGGATGTGAGTTCAATCAGTCATACCTTTATAACTCTAATTCTCAAGAAGCCAAATCCTGATGTTATCGAAGACTTTAGGCCTATCTCGCTAATTGGCAGTTTATACAAGATCATAGTTAAGGAAGTTGTGGGTGAGAATCAGTTCGCGTTTACTGCTGGAAAACAGATAGCAGATTGCTCTTTAATTGCGAACGAAGTAATTGACGAGATCAAGAAAAGGAAAAGAACAGGCATCGTCTTCAAATCCGATTTCAGTAAAGCTTTTGATTCTGTAGATTAGGGATTCTTGGGTTTCGTATTGAAGAAGATGGGATTCGGAATAAAATGGAGAAAATGGATTAGAACGTGTATCTTGACTCCATCCGTAGCGGTATTAATAAATGGTGCCCCGTCGGATTTTCCCCTATTAAGCACAGACTAAGGCAAGGCTGCCCTCTATCGCCTTTGCTCTTTAACATTGTGGGTGAAGCACTGAGTGGTCTATTGACTAAAGCGTCCAATAAAGGGATATTTAATGAAATTTCATTGGGGGTATAGCAGCGTTTGTGTTACACACCTTCAATTCGCCGATGATCTCATTATTTTCTTCGAAGCAAATATTGGGATGGTTAAAAACATTAAAAGGGTTCTAAGGGTGTTTGAAATAGTGGCGGGCCTATCTCTAAATGTCAAGAAGACCTCAATCTATGGCGTGAATGTGAAGCGGATTATATCAGGAGGTGGGCCGATCAAATCAATTGTAGCTGGGGATCTCTCCCTACTTCGTATCCTGGGTTACCGTTAGGCCAGTCTAGAAATTTAATAGAACTATGGCAACCAATAGTGAAGAAAGTTCAGTCTCATCTAGAAAGTTGGAAGGGTAAACTCCTTTCTTATGGTGGCCGTGTCACGCTGGGCAGATCGGTTCTGTCCAATATGCCGATATTTTATCTATCTCTGTTTCAAATTCCAGCAAAGGCTGCGTCATTGATAAACATAAGTGTCGTAACCGGTTTTCGTCCGGGCACGAATTTTTTACTTGGCGGGAAAAGTGATGTGAATAAATGGTTTTTAAAATAATTTGGGAGTCGCCATTGGCCTTTTGGATCAGGTAGGTCGAATACCTAAAAATCATCATTTAAAAGAGTTTTTAAGAAAACAACGATTAAAAGATAAACTGATCTGCGTTTTAACCAAAAATTCGTTCTTTTTAATAATAAAAAGGGATTCGTGGTTGGATACGTTTAGGGAAGGATTAGCACCCCTACAACGCCCAAAATTGGTACTTTTTAATTATAAATTGTCTCTATTATTAGAAATTTAAAAATTCAAAATATATTTAATTTATAATCCTATTATTTCAAAATTATAATTATGAAAAAAATATATTAATTTATATACAGTTATAAATAAAATATTTATTTATTTAAAAATATCAAAAAATGACTTCTAGGTGCCTTAAGACATCTATTTTCTTTGATATTAAAAAATAAATAATAAATTAAAATAATTAATATATAATTTATAAAATATGATATTTATTTATTTAAAAATATCAGAAAATGAACATCCAGTTGTTTTAAGACTGCCCTTTCTTAATATTGAAAAATAAATAAATATTAAAACATGATTAAAATAAGTTAAAAGTAATTAAATAAGATTTTAATAAATAAAATAAATATTATTTATTATATAAATATATATTTATGGCTAAATAATAATAGTAATAATAATTAAAAGTAAACATATAAAATTAACATATAACTAAACAATGAATAAAATTAAAACTATATATTTAAAATAAATAAAACTTGTAAATAAATAAAAATTGAAATTAGTGACTAAATTATAACCTAATAGAATTAAATACCTAATTCATAATTAATTATTTAAAATTTGAGTGACTAAACATGTTATTCTCCTTATTTATTAATTTAGTGACTAAACTAAAATTATATAAAATTCATATATCAAATTAAAATAAATTGAAATATGTTGTTCAGGGTTTAAAATATTAATTATTAAAATTAAAGGACTAAATATGTTATTTACCTAATATATATTATTTTATGTAAAGGACTAAAATGAATATATATAAAATTCGAATACCGAATTAAAAGGATCTAAAATTTGCTTTAGTGACTAAAATGTAAGGATTACAAACTAGGATGGCTGCGGAAAGGGTTTGGCCATGCACGAAATTACAGATATACCCCTCTCAAAACGGCATCGTTTGGGAAAGGGTATAAATACCCCAAACGGCTGGCCCTCCGGGCCAGCTCTCTCATTTCTCTTCTCTCTCTAGAGAAGAGAGATATCATTTCTCTCACTTCTCTCTAAAAGTCACCGACCGGCCACCATCAACGGCGCCGATCACCACTGCCGGCCACCACCAACGGTGGCCGGAATTCCCAAATTACCCTAGAGTGTAGATCTCGACCTCCTAAGGCCGAATATGGTCTTCGCTTGTCCTAAAACGCTTTAGATCGTTCTATATCTAAAATAAATCGAAGGTTTTACCTTCGATTTTACAATAATTCCGGTGGTTCCAGACGGTTTGGAGGCTTCTACGATGGTAAGATGCTCTTTTTCCTCTTCTTTCTGGTTATTGGGTGTTGATTTGTTCTCGTATTCTGCTCTCTGTTTGGTTGCTCCGTGGCTGTTGGTCTCCTCTTTTTTTTCTGTCTTTCTGTTTTTTTCTCCTCCTCCTCCTCTTGTTTGTAGGGGAAACGAGGCTTTATAGCCTCGGTGAGGCTCTCGTCGGACTAGTCCAGAGGATGAAAGCCTTGGTGAGTCACCAAAGCTATGCTCATGACTCACCGTAGAGGCGACGTGTGTGGCTGTCATCGTGGCAGCAGAGCTTCTGGAGGCTTCAACGGCGAGGTGGCGTGGCACTGGAGGCGGCGGCGGCTGGGACGTGTCCCTAGGGTTATGATACCCTAGGGTTTCCTTGTTGGGACCATCTGGGCCGTTGGATCAAAACTAGATCCAACAGCAGCAAGTTGAGGCGGTTGGATGATGATATGTAAACCCTAACTGAATCTAGAGTTACATATTTGGGCTCTGTTGGGATAGTTCAAGTTGGGTCACTGGGATTTTTATCCGTAATAAAATAATAATATTTTAATAATAATAATAATAATAATAATAATAATAATAATAATAATAATAATAATAATAAATATAATAATAAAAACCAAATGTAAAAAAAACTAATGTCTTCAGCTGCCCCTCTTTGCTCATTCTTGTGTTAACAAGAATAGGGCAAAGACGAAAAGACAATATTTTTTTTCATTTGACTTCATTTGATTATGATGGCAATGTTGAACAAGTTCTTCTTCTTTGGGATTAGTTCTTCTCATTATGAACTTTTCCACTGGGGATGACAATTTATCTCCTTTTGTGATGTAATCTAACAAAAAGTTGAACAAATTCTCCTCCTTATGAACTTCTTCTTCTTCAGATAAGTTCTTCTCATTATGAACTCCTTCTGGAAATGATGATGATGATATATCTCCTTCTGTGATAGAGTTATGCCAAAGGTTGAATAAGTTCTTCTCATTATGAACTTTCTCTGGAAAAGTTGATCCATCAAATGATGAATTCAAACAAAAAGTTGAACAAATTCTTCTCATTATGAATTTCTTCTTCTTTCTTCAGACGAGTTCTTGTCATTATGAACTCTACCTGGCAATGTTGATCCATTAAATGATGAATTTAAACAAAAGGTTGAACAAGCTCTTCTCATTATGAACTTCTTCTTCCTTCTTCAGATAAGTTCTTCTCATTATGAACTTTCTCTGGAAAAGCTGATCCATCGAGTGATGGATTTGAGCAAAAGGTTGAACAAGCTCTTCTCATTATGAACTTCTTCTTCCTTCTTCAGATAAGTTCTTCTCATTATGAGCTTTCTGGTAATGCTGATCCATCGAGTGATGAATTCGAGCAAAAGGTTGAACAAGTTCTTCTCATTATGAACTTCTTCTTTCTTCTTCAGATGAGTTCTTCTCATTATGAACTCTTCTGTAAATGCTGATGACCCGAAGGTTTTGAAAACATCAAAAAGCTCCCGAAGGCTTTTTGGAAACATCATGCACTGTAGGACTTACAGATGACCCTAAGGCTTTGAAAACATCAAAAAGCTCCCGAAGGCTTTTTGGAAACATCATGCACTGTAGGACTTACAGATGACCCTAAGGCTTTGAAAACATCAAAAAGCTCCCGAAGGCTTTTTGGAAATATCATGCACTGCAGGACTTAT